CAGAGTACACGTTGTAGGCCTGACACACAGACGCTTGGAGACAACTAACTGCTATTCAATCTATAACAGTGAAAAAGGTTTTTTGTTTTTTAAATGCACACCATTGTGACACTAGTGAGTGAGTGGTGGCACTGGGCAAGTGGGCACAGTATACGCTGCGAGCCTGACACACAGACGCTTGCAGACAACTAACTGCTATTCAATCTATTACAGTGAAATACATTTTTGTTTTTTAAATGCAAGCTATTGTGACACCAGTGAGTGAGTGGTGGCACTGGGCAAGTGGGCACAGTATCCACTATGAGCCTGACACAGAAGCTGGCAGGCAGGCAACTGCAATTACATTACACAGAAAAAAAAAAAAAGCAGACTGATGTTCTAGCCCTAAAAAGGGATCAGATGAGTCCTTCTGGACTGTAGTGGACACTGTATGCACTAACCTAGCTATCCATTTCCCTATCAAATCAACAGCAGTTACACTTTCCCTCCTCTCACTAAGCATGCAGCTTGAGAATGAATCTAAAATGGATGCTGTCCAGTAGGTGGGAGGGTCTGCTAGGGAGGGTGTGCTGCTAATTGTCTGGAATGTGTCTGCTGACTGTGAGGTACAGGGTCAAAGTTTACTCAATGATGACGAATAGGGGACGGATCGAACCGCGCATATGTTCGCCGTCCGTGGCGAACGCGAACACGCTATGTTCGGTGCATCACTAGTGCTAATATCACACAACATAAACATAAAGTAAGCAATATTACCACACTGAGTCATATGGAATATTTGCAGAGACAGTAGTAATATGTAAAACATCTAGCAGTGAAATTAATGAAATCCCTTAAGTAATATGGAGAAAATCTAGCAGTGTTATGAACCAAATTTAGCAGTAATGTGAACCAAATCCAGGAGTGATGTGAACCAAATCCAGCAGTGGTATGGACCAAATCAGGTAGTGATATGGCCTCAATACAGCAGTTATATGGAACAAATACATCAGTAATGTGAACCAAATCCTGCAGTAAGCAGTGATATAGCCTGCAGACAGCAGCAATATGGACCAAATCCAGCAATGGTGTGGACCTAATCCAGCAGTGGTATGGACCAATTTCAGCAGTGACATGGACCAATTCCAGAAGTGGTATGAACTACATTCAGAAAGATATGGACCAAGTCCAGCAGTGATATGACCTGAAGACAACAGTAATATGAACAAAATCCAGTGGGGTATGACCTGGGGGCAGAAGTGCTTTGACCTGAAGACAGCAGTAATGTGGAATAATTGCATTAGTGGTGTGACCTAAAGACAGCAGAGATATGGACTGAAGACAGCAGAAATATAGACTGTAAAAATGAGTGACAAGGCCTAGGGAAGAGCAGGGATATGTCCAGCAGAGAGCAGTAAAATGGTCCAGCAGAAGCCTTGATATTATATAGACACAACAGTGAAATCACTGAAGCAATGGTAAAATGGCAGATAGATAGATGTGATATTGCAAAGTGTGCAGGGATGTGACAGATGCAGTTATGTTGTGGTTTAGGGATATCAGTACAACAGTATAGGAATAGCAAACATAAGGAATCAAGAAGGCTGCAATAAAAAAAGGAAATTATTCATACTTTCGTTGGAGTATAGACAAATGAAAGGTTCTGGAAATATAGATAGATACACAATAATATACCTTAATGAACAGTCTGTGATAATAAGGGCTGTGCTTTTCAGATTACTGTTATCGACAGAAATGAATGCCAAATTAAGTGTTCTATCTGATTGTGAAAGTCAATAAGTGAAGACTAACATATCCCTGGTGACTAATGAGGGAGTTGCACACTTTGAGCTCGACACAACTGATTGGGTAGATGTTGTCTACATTAAGGTAAGTCACTCCGAGAATGCTAAAATCTTGGGCAATAATTCAAAAAGTGAACACACTCCCTCCTCAGAAAGTGAAAAATATAAACTCTTCATATTTCTTTATATTTTTATCCATAGTTAATATTTATTTGATACATTTAACAGTATGTCTACTTTTGCTTTAGACATTTTCCTCACTCTTCTTATAGAATACTTTTGGTTTGGAAGTATTCTAAATTTTTCTCTTATGAACTTTATGTATGTTTCAGGTATTTTCAGTACAATACAATTCATGTCTGGAGACTGTAAAGGTCATGCCAAATCATGAACAGTAGTGAAGGCATCCAATAAAGTGTATCCACCATGATAAACTGCTTCCACGGTCCAATGGAGGAAATTCAGGATGCAGCAAATAGATATAATTAAAACACTTTAATTGATACAGACAAAACAGTAATCCAAAGCACAATGCATTTCAACAGGTCGTCTTTTTCAAGTGCATAATAAATCACACATACCACACAGAATTTAAATCATTTATCCTGAAGTTCCAATTCGCGCCATTCTCTGGCATTTACCTGGCATTCTACAGTTCTAGAAACTGTTTGGTGACGTCTGCGCCTTGCGTTCCCAAGCCAAGCCTCGACCTTGGTCGGCCGTCCTCACGCTACCATGCATATAATGTTGCAAAGGCAATCGTATAACAGTTCTTAAGTTCATGTATAAAGTAGCAGTCTTGTCCGTTCAAAATGCGTTCCAATGAACTTTGTACTTTGCACCTGCTAGTCAACATAAAGAGAGTCTGCAGAGAAGAGGAGAAATTAAACAATTAGAGTTGAGCAAACCCGAACCGCAAAGTTCGGGTTCGTACCGAACATTAGGTTTTTTGGACCCCGGACCCGAACACGGACATATCACTGTACGTTCGGGTTGGAGTTCGGTGTTCGGCGATTTAATGGCGCGTTTTCAAAGGCTGCAGGGCAGCCAATCAACAAGCGTTTTACTTGTGTGCTCTTAGAAGCCATCACAGCCATGCCTACTAATGGCATGGCTGTGATTGACCAGTGCAGCATGTGACCCAGCCTCTATATATAAGCTGGAGTCGCGTAGCGCCGCATGCACATGTGGTCTTATTAGTGTAGGGAGAGGATGCTGCCGCTGATAGGGACAGCTTAGGAAAGAATTCTGCAAACTAGTACATTAGTGGGGTGGGGTGCACTCCATATCTGAGAGTCAAATAGAAGCTTCAAATACCGCGGTTACCTCAGAGTTTTAAAAAGTCAATTTTTTTGGTGCTAAATAGTACATTAGTGGGGTGCACTTCATATCTGAGAGTCAAATAGAATCGTCAAATACTGCTGTCACTGCAGTTTTAAAATTTAAAATATTTGGGGTGCTAAAAAGTACATTAGTGGGGTGCACTTCATATCTGAGAGTCAAATAGAAGCGTCAAATACTGCTGTCACATTCCAGTTTTAAAACTTAAAATGATTTGGGTGCTAAACTGCTAAATAGTATTTTAGTGGGGTGCACTTCATATCTGAGAGTCAAATAGAAGCGTCTAATAGTGTGCTTACAGCGCAGTGGTGAACATTCTTATTTTCTGGGTGCTAATCTGTCAAATAGTACATTTTGTGGCCTGCTCTTCATATCTGAGAGTCAAATAGAAGTGTCTAATAGTGTGCTTACTGCGCAGTTGTAAACATTCTAATTGTTTGCTGCTAGTCTGCTAAATAGTACATTTGCGGCCTGCGGTGCACTTCATATCTGAGAGTTAAATAGAAGCGTAAAATAGTACGCTTAATGCACAGTTGTAAACATTCTAATTGATTTGCTGCTAATCTGCTGCTTACATTGGAGTTTTAAAAAGTCAATTTTTTTTTGTATTTGTTTTTTGGTACTAACTAGTATATTTGGGGTGTTCACTTCATATGTGAGAGTCAAATCGAAGCGTAACTTTGATTCGAATTTACTACATCGGTCACTTGTAATATTGTTTCACACCTACAACTCTTTTTACACAGATCTAAGTGATAGAAAACAGATTGATATTTTCTACACTAGAAACTACCAGATAACAAGCTGTTTTATTTAAACTAGTGATCAATAGCTAAGAGGTACTTTAACAATATTGTAATTCTGGGGAAATACCCTTACAAGTCAAACTGAGAGGTCAGTTTATAGGGAAAACTGTTGCCTGGATACAATTCTAAAGCAATTTCCATATGTCCTTTGCAGACTTTACATGCTGGAAAAACACAGGTGCCAACACCTGTGGCTTTCTGCAGTGTGCATACCGGCAAGGAGGGCAGGGTTGAGGAGTGGGTGGAAGATGATGTGGAGGATGATGAGGTCCTAGACCCCACATGGAATCAAGGTCATGCAAGTGACGTGTGCAGTTTGGAGGAAGAGGTGCTGGTCGCACAGAGGCACCAGCACAGCATAAGAGGGAGCAGGGTGCAAAAGCGGAGCGGCCGTCCCCTAGCGCTCATCGGCATGTATTAGCTCGAGAATTACCAGTTATCCAAGTAATACATGTAGCGATCAAAGGATCCATAATAGAGTTAAGCGAACCCGAACTACAAAGTTCAGGTTCGTACCAGATTTAACAATCCATTCGTAGTTTCACAGTGAAGTGGGCAGTCCAGTGACCAGGACCCAGACACAGTCTGGGCGGTGGTCGGACAACCGGGACCCAGTATGCCTGATGTTAAAGTTAGGAGTCACAGTGTGGAATGGATTAGCAGGGTCTGGTGCAGGGTAACCGCACGCCCCCTGTTGTTGAGCATCAGCCTTTGTGCGGCCACATACCAGGACCCTGATGCAGCTTCAGTAAAAAGAGTACTGGATACCAGAAGCCATCACCAGACTGATCCGCAACTTGGAACAGGATGTGACATTCACTGTAGTGGCTGTGCGCGCTTTTGGCGTTGTGACCCTGCTGCTGCTCGCCTGTCTGCGCTGCAGCGTAACTTCGGCCTTCCCGCTCACCGCCTCATGAGAGGAGCAGCAGCAGGCGATAGTGGAGTTTCAGCTGCAGCATGGACGGGTCAGTGGCTCTGCACCAGATTTCCCTCCGCTTGATCAGAGTGAAAGGATTTCAAGTGGACTTATTACAATTACATGGCCTCTAAAGAGTCCTGTATTGTTATTTGTCGTCACTACCTTCCCGCGTCGGGAGTGGGTCGTTTGCGCGCCTGCTGCCTTCCTTGCATGTGGTAGCCATTTCTCAGGGTCGCTGTATGGAATGGAACCCTGATTCCCCGTTACCCGTGGTCACCATGGTAGGCACAGAAACTGGCATTGAAAGTTGATATGGATGACATCCGGATGCAAAGTCACCGCCACGGGGGAGGTTCTCTAGAGTCAACAAAGTGCCTGCGCAGCTATAATGTCAACAGCTACTCTGTGGAGCAGAGTTGTCTTTTTTTATATGTCCCAATATTTTGTGGGCTACCCCAATTAAAATATATATATATATATATATATATATATATATAAAGAAAAAAAGCACTGTGCCTTGCACTCAGACTCCAATTCCCAAACCGGGTGCACTCCCAGGGCTCCAAGTATCCAACTGGTAATATCCAAGGTTGCACTCACGGATTCATTAAAAAATTTACTTTTATTGAATCTTCCTTAAGGAAGATTCAATAAAAGTTAATTTTTTAATGAATCCGTGAGTGCAACCTTTGATATTACCAGTTATATATATATATATATATATATATATATATACACATATATATATATATATATATATATATAAAACAGTGTTGGCTACCTCATCCTCCTCCTCCACCGCCACGGTTACCGCCTCCTCAACCTATGCGTCACTTAGTATAAACTACATTAGCAGAGGCTTGTGAAGGCCTTTTCTCCATGCATCAGGAGTTGAGCATTTCTCCATGCATCAGGACTGCAAGAAATGCACCGCAGGCCGCAAATGTTTTTTTTTTTGTATGTCCCAATATTTTGTGGGCTATCACAATTAAAATAAAAAATATTTATATAAAAAACAGTGTTGGCTACCTCATCCTTCTCCTCCACCGCTGCTTCCACCTACACCGTCATGGTCACCGCTTCCTCAACCTATGGGTCACTTAGTATAAACTATGTACACATTAGCAGAGGCTTGTGAAGGCCTTTTCTCCATGCATCAGCAGTTGAGCATTTCTTCATGCATCAGGACTGCAAGAAATGCACTGCAGGACGCAAATGTTTCTTTTTTTGTATGTCCCAATATTTTGTGGGCAACCACAATTATTAAAAAAACAAAACATAAAAAACAGTGTTGGCTACCTCATCCTCCTCCTCCACAGCCACGGTCACCGCCTCCTCAACCTATGGGTAACTTAGTATAAACAAGGTACACATTAGCAGAGGCTTGTGAAGACCTTTTCTCCATGCATCAGGAGTTGAGCATTTCTCCATGCATCAAGACTGCAAGAAATGCACCGCAGGCCGCAAATGTTTATTTTTTTGTATGTCCCAATATTTTGTGGGCTATCACAATTTAAAAACAAACAAACATAAAAAACAGTGTTGGTTACCTCATCCTCCTCCTCCACCGCCACGGTCACCGCCTCCTCAACCTATGGGTAACTTAGTATAAACAAGGTACAGATTAGCAGAGGCTTGTGAAGGCCTTTTCTCCATGCATCAGGAGTTGAACATTTCTCCATGCATCAGGACTGCAAGAAATGCACCGCAGGCCGCAAATGTTTCTTTTTTTGTATGTCCCAATATTTTGTGGGCTGCCACAATTACAAAAAAAAAAAAAGTGTTGGCTACCACATCCTCCTCCTCCACCACTGCTTCCACCTCCATCGCCACAGTCACCACCTTCTCAACCTAGGGGTCACTTAGTATAAACTATGTACACAATAACAGAGGCTTGTGAAGGCCTTTTCTCCATGCATCAGGAGTTGAGCTCAGTTTGAACAATAAAAGAGAATACCCTGCACTCCAACCCTCTCTCAAATGGATAATTCTGTTGATCCTCCTGACAGCCATGCTTTAGATTTTGATTTATGTACTTCCAAAGCTAAAATCAAAGATTCCATCTGGTGCTATTTTATGGCTCAGCTGTATTTTTAATTTTTATGTTATTTTAAGTGATTTCCCTATCCACATTTGTTTGCAGGGCACTTGTCCTACTCTTACACCCCATTTTACTTGCTTTTGCAGCTCTCTAGCTCTTTCCAGGAGTTTTTTAGAGGCATTTTTGTGGCCAAAAGTTCGGGTCGCCATTGACTTCAATGGGGTTCGGGGTCAAGTTCGGGGGCAAGTTCGAGCCCGAACCCGGACTTTTTTTCAAAGTTCAGCCAAACCCGCCGGACCCGAACATCCAGGTGTCCGCTTAACTCTATAAACAATGTTTCTATTTTTTTTCTGGATTATGATGCTATTTGCTAGAAAGACTAACACAAGTTAAAGGTGATTTTTAACTTTTTTATTTGATTGTGTAAATACCAATACCAATGACAATTTGTTATAAACAATTTGTTCAACAGATAGTAGAGATTCCCCAACTGAAGCCCAATCTCTGATAACAAAATGTCAGGGACAGAGTATTGGAGTGGTGCTGTGGGACTCTGTGTCCATGGACTCTTAGCATTATAACTAGTACTATAACCATTTCAATCCATAGTAGTGGTTATGGTGCCTATGGTGTTCCTTTAAAGATAGAGCCCATTTATAACCCATTTGATAAAACCCTAGTGGTGAAACGCATTATGGTTATTTTGATTGTGTATTTTTATTAATAAAAGGCTTTTTTGTTAAAATTTTGTGCCAATCATCTTTTTAATACACTTTTTTATTTGAAATTTTTTACCTGGCTTCCTTTTACCTTCGTGTGAGTCCAAGTATATCCGAGGTGGGGATCATACCACCAACGCTGACATCACAGTGCAGTTTGCCTGCACTTCACTTGTGAGTACATTTTTATTTATGTTTACTGCATATTTTATTCTACTAATTGCACTATTGGCTGTCTTTTATATATCCCTCTCCTGAGTGTTGGATACCATCCCTCTGGAGGACTCACATCACATATCCTTTAAAGCTGGGTTTATACCGCAGTATGCCCTTCACACCAGAGCTTACTATAGCTCTTTTAAATGTGAGTTTATTGCACATATTTGTTTATTTTACCCATATTAGCTTTTACATACTTCACCATTGGGTCTCCTCATTTTTGTCTTGCATATAAGTGGGAAGGTTAGACCACTAGGGACATTTTGAGGACCCAAAACACCCAAAAACAGGCACCTTATAAAGATACTTACTTCTGAGTTAGACCTCAATATTATTGGACTTTACCTTCAGTTACTCCATCAGAACTTTAGTCCCACCATATCAGTGAGACCAACTACGCTATATTGCCCTCCATATTCAGATGAACTATTGTATCTGTTAACTATTGGCGCAGCCCTTTTCCTGTATTTCTTTGTGTTACATGTTCTCTCCTCAGAGGGTTTGAGGGATACCTTCTGCTGGGCCACTGCCTACCTTACTTCAATTTTATTAGCGCTGACCCTTTTCTTTTTTTTTAAATTTTTTATTTTTGCTGTGCAAAGATATGTAACAACCGGCGTGGGGTACCCCAAAGGCATTCCCCTCGCTATTTTCATTGTTTTTAACATTGAGGTGTTCGAGATTACATGCACATTTGTAAGTTAATTGTGAAGATGTTGATCTATATAACGACAGTATAGTATAGGAATAAAGAGTAGGGTAAAGGAATTATTGCGTAGAATAAGATTGGATATATGCAGTCATTAACTAAATTACTGATATTCTGTCTCATTTCTTATGCAGCTGGCTGTGTTGTACAACAATGTGTGACAGTGTAGAGTAAACATGTTAGTCTAGTGAGTGCCAACCATCTATATCATATAGTGCAGTATAGCATTCAATAGGTAAGTCAATATGCGTGATTATAAGTGATGACCGGTTGATTATTAGTTACCATGGCCTTCAGTTAAGAAAATTAAAAGATCTGCAAGGAAGGCAAACAAAAGAGAGAAGCAGGACTGCATCACCCGGAAAAAATATTGAAAATAATAACGACATATAACGTTGTATGAGAAACAGGATAGCGTCTCCTTTGTGTGCAGCTGGTTTGCCGTATCCACTATCTCCTGAGAGGGTTAGGGTATGGCCACTGATTCCCTCAGGCCCTGCTTAGCCTATGCCGTCTAGGGTGTAAACATAGTCCTGTACCCAGTGGGGACACTGCCGACTTTCCCAGCTTATTGGGGCTTGGTAGAGTGGGTCTCTCTGTACTCTCAGGTTTCCCTTCGGTACCTCAGTGAGAGTCAGTGTCCCGGTGTGATGCCACCATCGTTGTTGCTGTCTGGCCTGCTTGGACTGGGTTTGAGTAGTATCTGGTGTGCAGCTCGTAGGGTGCTCCTTCAGGTGCCGTCTGTTCAGTCGCAGCCTGACTTTACCGTTTAGGCTGTAGCAGGGGGATCTCATTGTAGCGACGTGCACCCTCGGCCGGTGTCTGGGGGCTCCCGCGTGATGGGTGAGTAGACTGATGTGCCGTGGCATAGTTTCTTGTGGGTTCCAGGGAGCTGCCCTCCTGTTCCTGTAGCCGCTTGATGGATTTCTGGTCCCCTGCTTCTTATTTTTATTCTGGTCCCCCTTTTCTTTTTTATATATATATATATATATACGAAAAGCAGAAAGTCTTCTGCACTGAAGCTTGAATGTCCCTTAAATGCCGGGTGCTAAGACGCCAGGGCTCTGTTATTCACGTATCCAAAGAGGTAGCAGCTAGCAGCACTCACGATCTTAAAAAGTCCAATCTTTATTTAAAGTATTAAAATCACTATCAACATTTTTATCCCATATCCAGGACTTTCATCAGGATCAAAACATTAAAACATTGACTGCTTTTGATCCTGATGAAAGTCCTGGTGTAGCGGTACTTACCCTTTCCAGGGGCCGGACGGGGTCCTCTGTTCGAGCCGCACGCGGTCCTGCTGCTGCATGAGCCGCGCGCGGCTCATCCGACGGCTATAACAGGAAGGCGGGCAGTGACCGTGAGAAGCGGACACTTGTCCCGCCTAACTCTAAGAGCGCGCCGCGGGTCTCGTGCGCGCTCTTAAAGGGACAGTGGGAGCCTAAATTGGAAAAGGCATCCCATTGGTCCCTGTCATGCCACACTCCCCATACACTTACCTTTTGGGGGCGTGGATGTGACAGGGACCAATCAAATTAGATGTTTAGGTATATATACTCACCTTTTTCCCTTAGTTCCTTGCCCTATCGTGGTTTCTGTTTCAGTTCCCTTTAGCGCTTGTTGTGTTCAGTTGTGTTCCTTCGTACTTGACCTTGGCTTTGTTTCTGACTATGTTATCTTTTTATCCTTATCTGTTCTGTTTGCCG